GGTCAAAGGATCGGCTTCACTTGTCTCTTTGACGAGTTGTTTTGTGGTGCTAAGAATGGCGATACTCACTTACGATGCCAGCGAAATGTTTGTGAATGTACCACGTCCACGGTTAAACTTTGGAAATGATCATGTAGACAATGGACCTCGGACTAGGTGCGTTCCAATAAGTCTTCCTACCAATATGACCATGTTGCTAAAACAAGGTCAAAAAACCTGGATACAACAAAAGGAGCCTGCGACCACGCAAAAGGCCACACCATCTTGGTCTTCATACCTAACGATAACTTTGCCTTCTGCTTAAGCAAGCTCGGAGAAAACAAGAATAGAGCAAGACCAGCAAAAAGGAGGCGCCTGAATCAGGGATCTATTGGTAACCGGAGTAAAAGGAATCGCGATGAGGAAATGGGGGGCGGGGAATTTTGGCAATCAAGCAAAGACGTTGTTAGTGAGTGATGTCTGTTCGAATAAACCGGGACAACTTTGAGGGCCTGGCAGTCAGGGAGCTGGGTAGACGGATAAGCAAAGCGTCACGAAAATTCGGTTTTAAGCCCAAAATGCATTAGAAATCCACTTTAGATGTCACAGGCGTCCACAGTTTGCTCAGATAACATGCGTTTAATCAAGGAGAGGAGACCACACTAGATTTGCCACAAAAGGGCACATTTTGACGAGTGGAATGTAAACAAGTTAGAAATTGTGATAGGGCGGGTATTGGATAACAGGGTAAAGAGTAGATAGATAGGCCAGGACAGAAAGAAAAGTGATATTGTAACCGTTTTCGGCAGAACGTTTGTCGAAGGATTGACTTGACTTGTCTCTTTGACCTGTTCGTAGCTTGGTGCGGAGAATGGCAAAACTTACTCATGATGCCGGCGAAACGTTTGAGAATGTACCGAGTCCACTGTCTGATGCTGGGAGTCATGATAATTACTATGGCAGAAGACTTCGGATTAGGTGCGTTTTATTAAGTCGCCCTGACAACAAGACCAAGTTGCGACAACGAGGTCAACCCACTTCAACAATTTTATGCTTCACGGCGTCTACTCAGCAAGCCTTGTGTAGCATAATTTCACTTAAACGGCATAGTAAATCGTGGTAATCGCATAGCTGCTTGAAATTGTTGCCTAGCTAGGACTCTATTGGTTGCTTCTAGCTGTCGAGGCAATTAGGTATAAGTTACCCTACTCTAAACATGAGTAAATTATATGGAACTTTTTTCTCCTTTCTAATGAACTCTTTTATTGATATAATGCTATCTCTTATTTATCATACCTTATCACGCTGCAAATCAATTTTCCTAGTAAATTCAATGATAAATAATTGCTGGCATTTTTTTCAGTTTCTCCGAATTACTATAGCTTTGTTTTAGACGTTAAACGCTTTCTTTGCCTTTTATTTGGGTGCTCATTGTTTAGGGTATCCATAAATTTTGACTCGGTCTTCTTCATGAAAGTATCGGTTGTGAATAAAATGATGAAGCATATAGATTGCACATCCCAGGTTGGTTTCGTTTTCGAATCATCCTATGGCAAGCCATACTTTAAGCATTCTTGTGAATAACCTGCAGAAGTGAATTTTAAATAACTAACCTATGGGATACTAGGGTCACCAAGTTTATTTCTTCCAATTGCAGCAATGCAGAACTTTTTAGCTGGCCTGACGCCAGGTCAAACAGCATGGATTTGTGAACTGGCTGTGCGTTCAATGCAGCTTCCCAGACAGCTGCTTGTCCAACTCACCTTAAATCCAGATGCGATCTCTACTTCTGCTATCAAAAATTCAAATCTTGACTCAGGGTCTGAGGAGCCAGCTATCTTTTACTTAGCCTACTTGGGCCTCGCTGAGGAACTAGTTCTATGCCATGACTCGATGACCCGACGGAATGTATCTAGAACTATATTCTTTTCTGACTCCAGTTTTACTCCTATCACTGCTTTATCTGGATCGAAGCAAACTCCCTCCAAAGACGATAGTAGACGAATTTTGCTTCTACCCAGACTATTTCCAAAGATCGAGGCTTTGCGTTGTTACCTGGGTGATTCTGTCGGCATCTATTTTCAATGGATGAAATCCTATTCTTTGGCTCTCACGTTGCCCGCTGTTCTTTCGCTCCTGCTCTCTGCATTCGTCTCTTATATGGTGAGTTTTTCAGGGCCATCATTTTAAGAGGTTTATCTTAATTTTATCAAGCAATCGGATATATATTAAAGTTACCTCGTATTTTTGTTTCTTTGTCATTTCAGCAAGTGAGTTGCTACAATTCTTTCCATTTGCTTTATGCATAATCAGCAAACCTACTAGTATGATGAGATAAATCTGTCTCACGTAGTCTCTGGCATGTATTCGGCCACTTCTGACCGTTGGACCCAGCTTCCTTTACAAGCATTTTTATGTTCCTCAATCTTTGTGTCATTCGGACACAGTTAATTAAATACTTTGTACAATAGTTCGCCATGTCTCACCAACATAAGGTTGATCACAGGGGCTACAATCTTGCAGCAGCCGAATCTCGATAATGAGTGTTATTTTTCTCTAAAATATGGCATAACAGAGTAAACTGTGAGGATTTCTTTAAATACTTTTTATCCCCTACTTCCTTTCTAATTAGTCCTATCTTTTTTTAAAGAAGGCATTACAGCAAAATTAGGATATGAGAAAAGGTTTCAACTTGTCTATATTTGACTGAAGGGTCTCCGTCTGAGAATGTACTTATTA